TTTATTGTTACTGTTATTACCTACTTAAATACTGAAGTAGTTATTACCGGTTTTTATATTCTCCCTTAGGACATTTTCAGATTTTGAATTACTTGATATTCCCATACACTGGGAAGCCATATTAAACGTAGTAATTAATATGCCTTCCGAAACCTGGTCCTGTAGATTCCACCAATTAAATGCCTGAATCTATACTTGAAATCGAGTGTAGAGGTAGAGCTTCGTTCGCACGCACCTTAAACTTCATAGAAGATAAATATCAGAATAATAAAAACTTCCCATTGTACATTATGGTTTAATGCCAACACGACCCATTTCGATTGTATTCACGAGACGTCACAGGCGCGGTTCATTGAATGCGTTTAGTGTCGCCGATCGAGAGTCAAATATCGATAGTTTCGTCGATAGCTCAGAATGTGATTCAGCTGATGGAGTGGAGACAGTCAGTAAAATTACATTTGGAAACACGCGAAATATCGATTGACAAAAAAATGGATAGTAAGTAATGTCTATTTTGGAGAGTAAGCTTTTGGACATAAATAATTCTGATTATATCGATTTTCAATTTTATTTATGAACTTCAATACTATTAACAGGGTAGTTGATAAAATATCGATAGTTCGACAACACTAAATCCGCTCCTTCGTGTGTGGTACATGCGTGCGCACGCGTTTCGCACAGGAAGACCGGTCGGAGACTCGACCACCTGGAATCTGCTACGTGATTCCTTACTTTCAACTCTGTCTTTTTCGCTCTCAACAGCTTTTCAGGATGTGTGCAAGTGATGGATGCGTAATCGCAGACTCGAGAGAGATTCAATTTCGCGCTCTCAACAGCTTTTCAGGATGTGTACAAGCGATGGATGCGTAATCACGGACTCGAGAGAGCTTCGATTTCGATCATCTATCCTTTTCTTGTACTAGTTGCCAGAAAGGGACAGAGTCGATACATGAATTTTGTTTCTCAGAGTAGACCCCTGTCGTAACGCTCGTGAGTTCCCGGGTGGCATGGCCGGGTAATTTTATTTCGATTAGCAATGTTTGCATCGCCAATATCATTGGACAGCCCATTCATTATTCTGACGTGATTACTGATTGCCCCAAGTCACTCCGTAGTGATCCTGTAATTCAAGCAAATACAGAAGGCCTTTTTTCTCTTAGAAACATTTTTCAATCAAGATCATGTTGGACTCAATTTAATTTGGAGTCTCGTAAGAATCTTAGGCATAATAAAGGACTATGAATATGAATAAATAACTCATATTTTTTGACTATTTTAGACTTAAAACTACTTAAACTTAAATACTCATTGTTACTGAACGTGAAGTATTGGTGTCTGTACAAAATAGTGTTTAGAATGACAGTTGGGATGGGTGAAGTCCGTGAAGTAAGGGTACCTAACTAACTGGCCCTTCTTCTGTTGTGTGGTGATATGCCTAACCGTGATTGATTGGATGGTAACATTGTAACGGCCACCGCAGTAACGGCCACTGGTCGTTTCGGACACGGTGATCACACACTATCTTGACGCCTAACGAGCAAACGAGGTTGACAATGTTGCATAATCACCTTTACTACAGATAATGTTAGAATTTACTATCATATTAGTGTGTAACATAACGGAAGGCGAGAAACGTTCGCCACAACAAATAACACCTCATCTCATCACAACCACGATCACTAACTGCCAAAATATGGGCAGCAAATGAAAGGGCTAAAATTTAAAGAGTGTAACGAACGATTCGAGATTAAAGATTATAGATTAATACATTTTTTATTTATTTATTTATTTAACTGTATAGGTTAGGTTTACACACTATCACTTCTGGATTAGGTAGTTTTTTTTACAATGATTTTGAAGAAATAGCTCGACTATTAACTGCTCCATTTAAATACTAGTCTTTTAGAAAGGGAATCCCCGATGCGTTCCGAATTATAAGTGAAATGTAGGCGATCGCCTGCGTATAACAAAGTTATGTCACTGCAACTCTACATTCGGGTAACACAGCAAGCTTTCGCGTCGAGCTTACAAGGCACTACTGCCGTGTGTAGGCATGCACGTAATGGCACGCTTCCTCTGCACCTGCCGTGCAGGGAAGATGATACGGGATTCCTGCGGTGATGCAACTTCGCAAAGGTTACGTCAGTCGAGTTGTAAATAACTAGTAAAAGAGTTGAATGTATGTAAAATGATGCATCATAATTTTCAAGGCAGTAATTTTCGATAACTCACTAGTTATTGTAGTAATAGTTATCACTGTATTGGGTGTAATGATTGTGTTAACAGGTCCAACCCAGATACTCGTACCTAGAATAAGTACCTCTACGACTTCTATAAATTCAGTGATAATACAGAGATCAAAGTCCGTGTAGATCAATCCACTCGCAATCACAATAAATATTAATTGTTTATTATGAAAAACAAAACACATTTAACTGCAGACACTTTTTCCACACTGTATCCAATTTTGAAATAATTGTTCAACAATCCAGTGGTGTGAACAGCTTCTCGGAACGAATTAGTTTTTTACTGAGCCTTGACAATTATATGAATTGTCCAACAAATCACTTTTCCCCGTCCCCAGGGCTGAGCCAGCGATTATTGTCGTGATCGACTGGCGCGCATTCGTATAGGGTTGCTCATTTTAATTATATTGGAACATTTCATTTAATTGGTATTTAATAGGCATTTTCAGTACTGAATCTGATTACACAATAAATACTTTATCTAAATCGAACATATAATACAAAATTCTATCATTTACATTTGTATGTATGTACTATCAGCCACAGTTCCAGCTACCCATTTCCAGTCGTCTCGTTCTATCGCAAAGAATCGCCATTTGATGAGAACGAGAGAAAAGAAACGGAAATGGATACCTAGCTAGCAGGAACTGTGGCCGATAGTGTATACATCCTACTTGTAAAGTTCAGTCATTCATCCCAGACTTTATGTGATAAGACATGTCTATCGTAAGCCCAAGGCGAGAGTTAGTAAAGCTTAAGTTCAACTCTGATAAATAGAGTAGTGGCTTGAATGGCGATTGTTATGAGAGTAGAATAATAAACATAAAAACACATATTTCTTAACTCGCAGTTGGCAACCCTAGCCTCAATTACGTGTCGTTTGCGCCAGGAGCGTGACATTATCCCTGCGCCCGCGCAGACTTCCGTTTTATTTTATTAAAACCACAAGATTTGTATACAGACGTCTAGATTTTATGTGTGCCATATTTATGGAGTTGGAGGCATTCATTGATACTATTATTTACTGTGGGAGCAAGAAAATACCTGAATAGTTTTCACAGTCAGCTTGACGGTCTACTTTGATGTACGTAGCTTTATTTGTTTTTTGATAATAATTACGTAACCTAAATAAGAGTTCATTAGAACTTTTTTTCCCCATTTGATTAGTATCAGCTAACACATTTTTTTTACTTTATCCAAATATCATTGGATAACAAAGCGAGTGATGATAAATGATAGAGACAACGGCCGCGCGACTCTTGCGCATGTAGCATTCTTGACGCAATAAGTAAGTAAATTGAATACGTAAGTTCTTTAACATTCTTTATCTTATGTTTACGAGTGATTTTGTAAGGAAAATATTTTTATCGTTAAATACGCATTCATATTTTTATTATAATAATGATAATTATGATTTTAATATGTTACCTACCTTTCAGAATTCTCGATTTCATTCTTACAAGGTAACTTAAAACCTTTTTGAGTTGGTATTGGTGTTTTTCTCATAAATAAATATTGAGTTTTAGTCGAAGATGCATAACATCCGGCTCATGAACTAAATAAGTACCTACGTCTCTACCTAAAGATCTAGTACCCAAAACAAGTCGCCATATAAAACTACTCCCCAATATCATATCTGGAACTATTTGCGTCTCGCATCAATCAAGAAATGAATAAAATGTAATCAACTACTGAATGTTTATCTAGTAAAGTTAAACAAGCCATCGCGCATATAAAACTTCAATCAGCGCCGGGAATAGATCAAAGACAAGTTCAATCGCACTCCAAATCGATCTCCTCAGTAGTTCCCAAACTTTAAACAACGTTAAAACTACACTTAACAAAGAATTGCAAATTTATTTGTTGGTTAGTATGAAAATAACACAAAAAGACTCCCACGCCAGACCTTGACGTGACTTGGGTCCCAATAAGGAGATCCTTTCTTCTTGCCCAGCCTTATCTTTCAAATACGTTCTTTTACGAACCTTCAAATTCCCGCCGCAGCTTCGGAGTAGCCAAGATCTACAGCTTGACCGCCAATAAACTCAACCAATGAAAGTTTCTCCCAGGGTAAAGTTAAACCCGTGTCACCGCAACGAAACTAATCAGAAAAACATAGGAAATGTTCGAAACTAAAGATGAACTTCCTCCTAATTTTGAGAAAAATAATATTTTCGGTGTCTATCTCGGCTTGACTCTTCCAAAAGTTATATCTAACCTTTGGGAACCAGTGTCCAATCGATCGGTTAGGGCGCCGAGGAGAAGCAGGCGGTCTCGAAATAGCGGCTATTCTCGGCGCCCGTTCGAGTCCCGGCCCGACGCATTCTTGCACACTGACTGGTCTCTACAAGGAATTGTTCTGTAATTACATCACTGCCGATACTTGGAGTTTGCTTTGCTAAGCTGCGAGCATGGCATAAGTTGCGGTACATTATTTAGTCTCGCTATTGGCACACTCTCCATTCGATCTAAGATTAGCGCGTTTTATTTGTTGCGTGTTTATAGAAATGTACATCTTGCTACCCTGTTTTTAATTCTTTCAAGTTATAAATTAAATCAACCTGAAAGAGGAGCTGACTACGACTGTTAATGGCAATTACTTTTTCTGTGAGATGCTTGCAGGACTCTTAACTCTTAAGTAGGTATACCAATAAAGTAACTATTAAGTAAATACATATCTTTACTCTTGCTTCTAGGAAATAACTACTGGTATAATATTAGTTTAAATATCAATAACCATCTGATCGTTTCCAGGAAGAAGGCGACGACCCCATCGACTGGGACCAGTACCAAGACGAAGAGATGGAGAGCGCCTCCACGGCCCGGCCGGGGGTCGTGACCCCCTCCGCCATCACCAGGCTGGGACCAGGCTACCGGGAGACCGTCATATCCGCCGTCGACCCCATCGCTGCCACTAAGGAACGGCCTAGGATACTTGATGATTGTAAGTATTACTGCCATAATTCGAGTTCCCAGTCAGTATAGGCACTAAAGCCTGGTCCGTGAGCACGTAGAATTTTGTCCAATGACCCAAGCTACCCATCCTTATCGCTCGCGCGTAATTATGTTGCTGTCGCGCTCGCACACTCACTGCGGGCGCCCGTCGCACAGTCGCGACAGCAATATACTTCCGTGCGAGCGATAAGGATGGGTAGCTTGGGGTCATTGGACAAAATTCTACGTGCTCACGGACCAGACTATAGAAACTAATGTGACATTGTAGAATATATCAGCCGTACTGGCTGGTCACACGATCTCTCCCTGTCATTGGCCTTTGATCGCGCCGGCGATGGCGATCTGCACGCGTTGGTGTGGTTAAAGCTTAACACGTTTCATGGCAAAATGTACCTTTATTATCGGTTAGCTAGAATGACAAGATGGATATCTCCTTGATAAAAAAATGACCGTCACGGTTTTAAATTCCTATTCAATAAACACTTGCATAAATGATGTTGTTGTTGATCATAATGAGAAGGTGAGTGACATTTGCCTTACACTACTGTTTTCCCTGCTGGCAAAGTCGCATTATAAACGATGTGAGTTATTCTCATGCGTTTATATTTTCATCCCATAACAAATTGCGTCATAGCTATAATGTGTCTTTCCCAATATTCCAGCGACCCTGACGGCGGTGGAGCGTCTGGCGCTGCGCAAAGCCACGTACGCGAACATAGCGGCCGTGGTGAAGGCGGGCAAGTGCTCGGAGCCGCAGCCGCGCTGGCTCACGGTGCGGCAGCTGGCGCCTGCTGCCAACATCGTGTGAGTCATCAAATAAATTTTAACTTACTAAAGCCCGGTCTCTGAGCACGTAGAATTTTGTCCAATGAGCCCAAGCTACCCATCCTTATCGCTCGCGCGTAATTATGTTGCTGTCGCGCTCGCACACTCACTGCGGCCGCCCAGTCGCAACAGCAATATAATTACGCGCGAGCGATAAGGATGGGTAGCTTGGGGTCATTGGACAAAATTCTACGTGCTCGGCGACCAGTCTTGCATGAAGTTTGGAGATTGTTCCATTTAGTCTTCTTCTATTGAATGGGGATCTAGGGATAACCTCACTCAACGGAACGGGTAGATATTATTATTATGATTTCATTACGATCCATTGTAAATTTCTTCAATGTCGTTCCTTAATCTGTTCATGGTTCTTTCTATTGAATTATCCAATCAGTTCAAATCTTGCTCACTCAAGACTCTTAGGATAACAGAAGGGACATCTTCTCAGACTTAATTGTACTCTATTGTCTTCAGATACATGCCACCATGCGTACAGCTGCATCGCTGTGCGCCCGACTCCGGCTGCTGCTACGACGAGGCGGAGGTGTGCGCGCCAGTCGCTGGCAAATACGTCGCGTTGCCCTTCTATGTGAGTAGCTTCAAAGTTCTTTAAAAGTAGGTAACTCGTATAGCCATCCAACCAGGTGTGACAACCACGACCACTCTGTCCAAAGTGTAACGTCGAACTCGAAGAAGAATTTTGTTATTAGACATACTTCTTATTGACGATTTATGTCTCTTTCCCCTTAGGCACCAATCAGAAAGTTAACATGAGCATTATCGTAGCCACTTCAAATAAGTTTTGCAAGAAAACTTGATGAGCCGTTTCTATGTTAAAGAACTTCATCAAAGGTTTTTATTAGTAAATCCACTAATCATAACGATTTCCGATCACGTGATCCCTTGCATTTTCTTTTGTCGAGGTAGCACATTTTTTTCTGGTTTATTAACAGACCAAAATTATTTTTCAGCTGCAAAAAGCAGACGGCAACCGTAGCATTGCGCGCATGCTGTTCTTCAACCACACGAGCTGCGCGTGCGTCTCTCGAGACACGCTGCAGACCACTGTGCGCACGAGAATAGACGTAAGTTCCAACTTTTTCTAAAATGAGGAGCAGAAGCTTGAGTCCCTTGTCTGCATAGTCCAAAAATATGTTTACGATTTTCTTATAGCTATGGTAATCATCTGGTAACAAATTCAGGAGCTTATACGCTAACACCTCATAACAATTTTTGAAAACCTGAACATTCATAAATGCAATCACGCAACAAGATAAAGGAGCTGTTCCTACTGTCCAGGAGCCTACTAGTTCCTGTAGGAACCTACCTACCTGGACAGCAAATAAAGTTTACTTCAAGACCACGACAGTTCCTGACTTTTGCAGCATATTCCTTAACAACCGTTACATTTTCAGCAAGAACTACCGAAGCAGATAGTCCGAGCGTCCGAAGAGTCACAAGAGAGGCAGAACGACTGGCGCGCCGGGACCGAGGAGCCTCATCTTTCAAGCGCCAGGGAGGACCACACCGCGCCGCCGCAGTTGCGGAGGTAACGTATGTATAGAGATATACACGCTTTGATGTATCACGACACAATCCTCCCGGCCTTCCAATAGTCAGTAGAGGCAGAACGACTGGCGCGCCGGGACTGAAGAGCCTCATCTGTCTGTCAGGGAGGACCACACCGCACCGCCTCAGTTGCAGAGGTAACGTATGTATAGAGATATACACGCTTTGATGTATCAAGAGACTGTCTTGAATCATTAGCAGCATGATTCTTATCCTAGTATCAAATCCAGCAGTCTAGAGATTGATAGCTTTTAAGCTGAAGAAACGAGAAAGAGTCCATCACCATGTCTAGCTGGGAGAATGGCTGTAAGCGAACAATGTATGATTCGATCGGTTGGTTAAATGCACTCCACAGCAAAGATATTTTCATCACATTTGGTAAAAATAAGATGGGCATCACTGTGAAAAGACAAGAAGTAAATACGAATCTACAAAACATACTACCATTGCAACAGCTTAATGTTTCAGCTGTGTTGCTACAGTCGTGGTCACAGACCAGTTTGAGACGCGACTTAATTTCAAAAATAATGGAACGCAAAAGTTTAAAATCTTATATTGCCCCATTGTTCCAGGTGCACCTGCCCCACGTTATTCCTGGCGCGGCCTCTGAACGACGGCATCTGTTCCTGCGTGTGCGAGTGGCCCGACGCGACGCGCCGCCGCGACTGTCTGTCGCAAGCGCGCGGCCGCGAGCACTTCAGCATGCGGGACCGAGTCTGCATCATCCACGGCGACTGCAACACTCCAGCTTGCGAGTACGGCGCCTACGAGAAGAGCCTCGGCAAATGCCCGCAGCGGCGATACAGGCGGACCCGCTACCACCACAGGGCCAGGGCAACCGAGAGGCCTAGCGATTAGACTCAAAATACTGCTGAACATTGAATCTTAACACTTTTTAATGAATGGGGATGATAAAATACTTATGACCGCGTTACGCAATGTTTTCTGGATTGCTAGCAGTAGGGTAAGGTGGGGCACAATGTTACAAGGGGTACAATGTTACAATGCATATTTCTCCGTCCTTTTCTATAGTTGTATGATGTTCAGCGGCTCAGTTCAGCTTCTCAGCTCAGTTCAGCTCTTATGAGCTTGACAAACGTGTGTGTATACCAACATCATACAACTAATAGAAAGGGAAGGAGAAATATGCATCGTAACATTGTACCCCGTGTAACATTGTGCCCCACCTTACCCTAGACTTGACTTGTGTCCGAAATTGAAACCTCCTTGAAGGAGGTCTCAGACTGGGGTCGACGCAATTTGGTCCAATTTAACCCTACAAAGACACAAGTTTGCGCGTTCACCGCCAAAAAGTTGCCGTTTGTCGTATCCCGCTGTTTCGAGAGCACTCCCCTAACTGCCTCAGCCAATATCGGAATCCTTGGTGTCGACATATCGGGCGAAGTCCAGTTCCGTGGTCATTTAGAGGGTAAGGCTAAATTAGCCTCGAAGAAGCTTGGTGTGCTCAATAGATCGAGACGGTATTTCACTCCAGCCCATCGTCTGCAACTTTACAAGGCGCAGGTTCGGCCTCATATGGAATACTGTTCTCATCTTTGGGCAGGTGCGCCCCAGTACCAGCTTCTCCCTCTGGACCGCATTGAACGGAGAGCAGCTCGAATCGTTGACTGCCAGGACATTTCGGATCGGCTTGACCCCTTGGCGCTGCGTAGAGATGTAAAAAAAAAAAAAAAAAAAAAAGACATCTGAACAATATCTATGTTCAGTATTTCGAACGTGCCGGCAGTTGAAAAAGTGCGTATAAAAAATAACAGTCGTCTTTGCTTTAATAAAGATAATTAAATACCTACCTTCTTCAAACATTTCGTGTAAAAACAGTGGCGCGGATATTTATTTACCTTATTGAAAAATATTAAGTCAAGCATATGTATTGCCTCTACAATTGTTATTGAAAATGTATGGTATCTACCTACGCCTTTAGTAGAATAATGATTTACCAGTTCCTTGCTTTGGATGTACCTACGAATAAGATTGAAATTCAGGGCTAGAAGACATAGATTGTAATTTTTCAAGCATTTTATACAAATGTAAAAAAAATTCTACAACAACAAAAATTCGACGATCTTGAATCGCTAATTTATAAAACTTTTGCTATTTACCTACTTATTATCTAAGTACCTATTATTATTTATTTTGAATGTATAGACGCATGCAATATAAATAAGTAGAATACATTTGTATTTGCTTTGCTCTTGTTTGCTTTGCATTTACTATGATTCCGTGCGAAACTATCGGAAACTTTTCGTATTATTTTTACTATATTTTTAATACTCGTAATTATGTACGTAAAATGAACGCATTTTGTGCCATAAAAAGGAGTCATTGTCTTTATTATAAGAACTATTAGTGTAAACACTAGAAATATGATATTGTAAATTGTTTTAATTTATTATTAAGTAGGTTTACGTACTTATTGTCATTTGCATAATATTTTAGTTCGGACACAAAGAATACGACTTTCCTTTAAGTAAGTTTAGTTGTAAGTTGTAAATAAATGTATAACTACACAAACTTGTTTTGATTTCTGATATTGATTAATATGTGCATGTGGATTTAGTGATCCGTGCATATAAAGGCTTATTTATAAAGGCCTCGCCAAATACAAAATGTTGTAAGGTAACATACAAGAAATTAATCAAGCCGCAACATTATCACAAAAACTTAGTAAATCAATACATCAACCGACAGACAGCAGAAGCATATTGGTCCTGTTAGGGTTCTGAGACCCATTGCACCCTTTGAGAAGGGTACCCTAAAAATTACAACACCTTTAGAACTGTTAGTTCTAGTTGAATTACTAGAATTCTCAATTGATAGCGATAAATGTATTCTGTGGCGATACTTCGAAAAATCTCCAAGTAATCATTAGACGTTTAGACAAATTCAAGTTCTTTATTTTGTGCTTTCTTTTTATGATATTTTCAATATTAAATAAATAAAAATACTTTTATTTTTCACCAAATACAAATTACAATTTGTTAATTACAACATTTGTTGACGCTGTTTAGGTGAACTGGAGCCTAAACTAGGATAATCCTGTATTTCAGGTCTCCAGGTCTCTTACCTTACTTATATTAAAATGTATTTAAGCTATTTTCAACCTTATGTCTCACACATAGAGTTCAAAATTAATTGAAGATAAAATACAAATCATTGTAGCTTGATATGCCAGCAACTCTAAATAAAATCTGAAATAATAATCCTTACTTGCTTAATTATGAACCAAATAGTATGAATTAATGGATAAAATATTTTTTTTTCCGATGCGCAGTAAAATGCGGGTTAGGTATTATCTGGCCCACCGAAAATCTGGTCCGCGGACCAGTTAACAACTTTTTAAAATACTAGTCTTCATCTCGTCCGAAGGTCCGGGCCAGATAATACCTGTAAAATCACTAGGGTATAACTCGCCCAATCTATAGTGAGATTTAACAATCTGTTCTTAGTTAAAGGATTCGTGATAAATGGTTAGTTAAATAGCCAAATTCAAATTTCAAGCCCTTAAAATTTTAAACTAGGTAATGACTTAGTGCATCTAAAAAGTGGAAAAAAAGGTATGTTCACGGTCTATTTTTTTATACCATTGAAAAATTTAAAACAGGCATCCTTTTTATGTTTCAAGTGTTTCATAAAGATTTCAATGAGAGTTTTTGATAGATATTGTTATAAGTACACTATCCTTAAAATATTACACAATTAGGAATTTTTGCTTTCCAGTCATTCCAGTGGCAACACTTCTAGAAATTTAGTTTTTTGCAAATTTAGTGTATTAATTAATGTGAAATAAATAAAATAATATTTACCGATGGAATGTAATGTTGTCCTTTTCAAGATTTGATGTTTCAGATCTCTTCTTACAATTAAAAACACTGCAATTCACCATTTTTATCGCAGCACGTTACTCTTCAATAGTGACATTTGGAATATGTCATTGGTGGCGCTGCAACTAGTTTTTATAAACTGAGTGGACCACTGGTCTACTTACATTGCTAGAGGGGATTGCCTGTCAGTTCCACTCCTGTTATTTCTGCTCTCTGGTCTCTATACAAACCATTGCACTAAATTCCCTACTAAAGTATTCCTACTCATAAGGATATGTTGGGGGTATTATGGAATAGGGGACTTATGAATATAGGGGAATATGATTCTTTGCACCAATAATATCAATAATGTATGCATAGTACAAAATCTACAACTATTTCATGTAGGTATGTATTTAATCACACCTGCATAATGATAGCCATGCAAGACAGGCTCTATTTGGAACGTTACAAGTGCCCTGAAATGGGCCTAAATAGGAAAGTTGAATTTATAACTTATAAATTGGCATACAAGTATATCATCCATGGCTGTCTTAGCAACTAACCAGTAAGAAGATTGCACAAATTTACACAATTTCATGATATTGTCCTAAACTAAACCAATGGAAAAAAAAATCTTGAAAAATAATGCGTAACTGAATTCATAAATTAAGTATTGCAAGAACCTTTTACAAGCCAGTAAATACATACACATGTAAGTATATACAGTTTACACAAGTGATGGAGAGGTTGACTTATTGAGAATATTTTTTATTACCCAAATCTAAATATTTGCAAAGCTGCACAAGTATGTATAGAGGTTTTGAAGATATTATTGAATTATCATAATTCCCTTAAGGGTAAGGAATGTTATTTTACCAGGCAATTAAACTTTCAAGTCTTTAAAATTTTATTTTTTATGAAAGTGTGGGTATTACATTTGAGTCAGTGGATCACTTACCTAGTCGGTGGCTACAGGGTATTTACTAAATATGTGTCCTTACGACTAAATAACGGCAATGAGTCAAGGCAGAAAATTACAGCCTTAACATCTTAGAATCTTTGGTAGTTCTCAATTAGTAATAAATTGAACCAAATCCGAAGCATATCGTGGCCCAAAGCAAATCTTAACAAAAGAAGACAGTCTAAAAAAGACTACACAAAGTTAATTCAATAAAAATGTTAACTTTTTTGCGAAACAATCAAAGCTGTCAGCTTAAATGGCTTCAAGCTTATTAGCTATCATGTTTGATCAGGTGCTGTATTGACGCGCATTGCGCGTTAATTGATATTTTATTACAATTAGCTGTCTGCATCACAAATTAGCGTATTATCGTCGGGTCTATTTGCCCCACGATATATAAGCGCGGGGAAGCTCTGCAGAGAACAAAGGCGTTCAATCCGGCCATAGAGACGTTGTCTTGGGCCAACATGAGGGCCGTACGGGTTTTTTTGCTTTTCTGCATCGTTGCATTTGTAAGTAGAATTTGAAGTTTTCTTTTTAAATTAAATCACGTCTTCTGTTACAACTTAAAACGTTAGTCGCATATTTTTATCTTCTAAATTCTTTAAACAACATACAAAAGTCTTATGCAAGTATAGTGATACTTTTTTCAAATAATTATAAATTATTTTCTAAATCATCGAGAATATAAATTTTACTAAAATGTTTTTATAATCGCAGATCAACGAGGCAAGAGCAAATCCTCAGCTAGAGGAAGAAGAAGGTGAGTTCTTTGAAGTTAATGACAACATCACTGACAATCAACCAATTTAACTAAATGTTCGCGTAGCTTATGATAAGTTGCTGCCGATCACTGGTTTAAATTATTTAATAGGGAGTGAATAAATTTCTCATACTATCTTCAGTAGTCAACTGTTAACTGTACATAATATTTTTAATAATATTGTTTAATGAACATTACAGAAATCGAAGAGTCTTCGAGTTCTTCCTCTTCAAGTACAAGTTCTAGCAGTCAATCCTTTGAATCCAGCACCAAAAGCTTTGGTTCATCTGGCCAAACGGAATTCTCTACATTTGACGAAAATGACCAAGCATTTTCAACCAGTCAGAGTGCAAACAAACAAAAAAAAATCAAGTCGATTCAGTACCTCAACCAGTTCCCAGGTGAGCCAGTTGCACCACAGGGACCAGAATCACCATTTGCACCTATTGCACCAATAGCGCCAATAGCACCAGATGGGCCATTTGCACCTATTGCACCAATAGCGCCAATAGCACCAGGTGGGCCATTTGCGCCATTGCAACCAGTTCCACCTTTCGGACCGCGTTCATCACAAGGATTTCGCCAATCATTCGAATCCAGTGATGAAGAACGAAGTGCTTTCCAACAATCTCAGTCCGTTAATGAATTCGGATCTGCCTCAAAAAATATTAAAAAAGTTCATCGAACTGGTCAACTAGTTGAAGAAGACGAGTTTGTAAGAGAAGAAATTGAAAATGAGGCACGCTCCCAATCATTAGAAAGCGCTTCCATACAAAAAAGACGCAAGAAATCTGGAGGACCAGCTCAACCAGATTCTCCGGTACAGCCAGAATCTCCAGGGACTGACGGTTATGTCCAAGAAACAGAGCAATCGAGTACGAGTTCAAGCCAATCGAGAAGAGCATCGGAGGAATCTGAGCAAAATTCACGGCGTATAAAACGCATCAAAAAAGTAAAAAGCGACCAGACTGAGGATGATGAGACAGAAGAATCAAACAGTTCAAAATCGAACCAATCGAAGAGTGCATCAGAACAGTCTGAAGAAAATTCACGTCGTATAAGACGCATCAAAAAAGTCAAAGGCGATCAGACTGAGAATGATGAAACAGAAGAATCGAACAGTTCAAAATCGAACCAATCGAAGAGTGCATCAGAACAGTCTGAAGAAAATTCACGTCGTATAAGACGCATCAAAAAAGTCAAAGGCGATCAGACTGAGAATGATGAAACAGAAGAATCGAACAGTTCAAAATCGAAGCAATCGAAGAGTGCATCAGAACAGTCTGAAGAAAATTCACGGCGTATAAGACGCATCAAAAAAGTCAAAGGCGATCAGACTGAGGATGATGAGACAGAAGAATCGAACAGTTCAAAATCGAAGCAATCGCAGAGTGCATCAGAACAGTCTGAAGAAAATTCAAGACGCATAAAGCGCATCAAAAAAGTCAAAGGAAAGTCAGATCAAGACGACGATGATCAACCCGGTCAACCCGGACATCCTAAAGATAAAAAGCCTTGCCATAAAGGTGGACCCGGAAAACCAGGACAGCCAGGCCAACCAGCCACACCAGGTCAGCCAGGAAAGCCAGGAATTCCAGGCCAACCAGGAAACCCAGGACACCCAGGAGGACCAGGAC